CTCTTTAAACAAGAGTATTGTGATTAATATGAAACATTAATTATGAATAAGGAGTCCACATAGTTTTCCTAATACACACTCTTATTGTTCTTTTTGGCACATAATTTTTGCTTTCTGGTTTTCTCATTCATCTTTCTATTTAGGTTCTATCTTCCTCCTTTCAGAAAAAAAAAATTCCCAGGAGGAGCAATTGTTTCTTATATGTCATAATTGCTTCATTACTTAACATAAAATAATTCAATATTTCCAAAGGACTTTTCTATATACTAAGCCTTGTGGTTAATTCTGAAAAATAGACAGGATCAAAATATAGTCCTTGGCACCAAGGATCTTAAATCCTGAAAAGACATAAGAGTAAAATATGTAACAAAACACCGCAGTAAAAATCCAGGAAGAAGAGATCAGTTATAAGTTCAAAAATCTGTAAATATTAAGAAAGCCTTACAACATAGGTTTTTTTAAAGCAAGATTTTTAAAGAAGGAAAAAAGGTATTCACGTGAAGGTGGGAATAAAATTTTCACAAAGAAGGGCACATGTGCACTTAGGATACTTTCAAATATGATATTATTAAACCAATGTAATATTCATTTTTTACTCTGGGCATTAATTATGAAGAATATATGAAATAGGTGGTTAAGGAGAATAATTACAAGAAACTGACACTCTTAAATTTCTAATAAGTAAGGTATAGGTACGGTTATAACAGGTTGCTTATTCATTATTATAGGATGTTCATGATAAATTACTAAGTGATCACTTTCCTTTTTAACATCAGTTTTTCTTTAATTCATTCATTAATTGAAAACACATTTATCAGCTTCGCGCAATGGCACACACCAATCCCAGTGGCTCAGGTGGCTGAAATAATATTTCTAAATTTTCTACTTCTCAAAAACAAACAAACAAACAAAAAACTTGTCTACAAAGATTCCTTTAGTTTAGGTCACCAGTGGCTCAGGAGGATCTGGTGTTCAAAGCCAACCTCATCAAAAAACTAGGCTCTAACCAACTCAGTGAGATCCTGTCTCTAAGAAAATAAAAAAAAAAAAAAATAGGGCTGGGATGTGGCTCAGTGGGTGAGTGCCCCTGAGTAGTTTAATCCCCAATACTAAGAAAGAGAGAGAGGGAGGGAGGGAGGAAGGGAGAGAGAGAGGGGGGGGGGAGGGGGGAGGGAGGGAGGGGGGAGAGGGAGAGAGAAAGAGAAAGAAGCCATATTTATCAAACAGTTCTGGTTGCTGGGAATTCTGGTTAAGAAAGATATAAAACAAAGTCCCAGACCTCAAAAAGTTGAGTCTGTCTGGGGAGATATACAGGTTCACACAGCTACAATGTAGAGTGAGAAGTGTTACAGTCAGGGTTGGTTCAAAGAAGCAAGATAGTATCCAACTGGGTTTGACTTTATTCCTGCTTGGCTAATATTTCCCTGATAGTTAAAGAAGGAAGTGCAGTGTGGCCTGATGCTTACCAGGAACATTCAAAAAAGAAACTTCTGACTATCGTTTTTTTGAAAAATATCAATTCCTCTAAAACTTAGTTTTCTTGTCTTTAAAGGTCAATAATACTAAATGTGACAACAAAAATCTTGTGTAATTTTCATAATTGGCCACTAGAAGTTGCAAATTCTTTTAGGTTAAGTCCTGACAAATAAGTGAAATAATAGATATAAAACATGTAACATAGTATCTACCATATAGAAAGTGTTCATAATGTTAGATATTAATTACTTGTTAAAAGTATATCTTCTCTATAAAACTATAAGTTCCATAAGGTTTATATATCTGAGTAATGGGTATTTATTCTCTGAATCCTAAAACACATCCTGTTTACCATAGAGGCGTATTAATTCAATTAGTGTTATTCCTCAGTATCCATAGTGGACTTATTCCAGGATCCCCTGCTGATGGCAAAATCTGAGGATGCTTAAGTCCCACATATAAAATAATATACCTTAAATAATCTCTCCAGATTATTTATAATGCCTAATATAATGCAAATGCTATTTAAATTTTATATATATATATTATATTATATTAGGATATAATGCCAAAATAGAAGTCTATACAAGTCTATACATGTTCAGCACAGACACATTTCTTCCCAGATATTTTCTAAGTGAGGTTGATTGAAGATGTGGAACACTTAGATGTGGAGGGCCAACTGTACTAGGTAGCTCTAGGTAGTTGTAACCCTGCTGAAAAATCTGTTTTTTTTTTTTTTTTTTTTTTTTTTTTTTAATATTGAACTGAAATTTGCTTCAGTTATGGTCACACCTTACCTTGAAAACATGTACACTGCCCAAGTGTACTGAGTGATCCCAGACTTTGCAAATGATGAGATATATTTAAGTTATTTGAATGGTTGTTATCCAAGGAAGGTTACGAAGTGTAGAGAGGACTAGATGTAAAGGTTAAGTCCAAGTCTTATGACACCAAGAACATTGATTCTCCCCATTCTACAGCAGACTCAGTAAATAGCCTGAGCTCTGTGGAGGCTGTACAGTGGTGTGAAGTAAGACAAAATTATTGCAGTTCTTAACTTTGTGACTTTGGATAATTTAATTCATCTCACTACATATCCATTTTTCCTTATGTAAAATGGTAAAATGGGAAGAATGGTGGTATAAAACTTGAAAATCTTGAAGGGTTCCTATAATAATTAAATGAGATAATGTATATAAAATATATCATAACAAGTGCTTACTAAGTAAAATCCAAGTTATTCTGCCATTCCTAATTAGATTTGACACCAGGAACATCAGAAAAAATATAATAAGTGGTAGAATTTTGTTAGGAAGTCTTTAGAAACTCCCTCTTTTCTTTACTGGGTCATCAGGCAATCTCTTGATTCACTGTTGACAGATGAATTTCCCATATTTGTTCACTTTATTCACACATTCTTTATCAAAGTACCCAAGACACTGTATAATCTAGTCCATTTTCTCTATTTTTATCCTGCCTCTCCTTTTTCAAAATTCATGCCATTTATTATCCCTTGGATACACTGAATTTTGGGCCTTTGTCTTGAAAGACCCTAGCCCAGTTAGCCCAGTTACCTAAGGCCAAGATATGAAATCAAGATACCGGGCTTGTCATAAACAGGCTCAGACTGATGTGCTTTCAAAAAGGACAGAGCACCCACATCCTGAGGCATGAATGAATAAACAGGAACAGATAAGCAGGAACAGAAAGAATAGAATGCAGACCTGTGGTTTTTGGAATGCAGACCTGTACCCCCTAGGTGACCTATATGCTAGATTTAAACAAACCAATAAGAAACCTGTTGCTTCCTGTGCGCAAAACCTGTCCCAAACCCTATAAAAATCTCTGTATCCCCAAGCCCGGTGTGCCAGTTCACCAAAGCTCCGGCTGAGGTTCTGCTGGGCACCCGCAGGCGCCTGTGTCTCAATAAACACCTCTTGCTTTTGCAGCCAGTGTTTCGTGTGATTCTCCTTGGACAGGGTAACGGGGGTCTTTCATAAACGGGGTGTCTTTCAGTCTATCTTGCTAGTTCCCACTCCTTAATGTCTCTTCTCATCTCCACTGATTAAACCCTACTTGTACTTCATGAATTTGTTAAATGCAAAGTTTCTATAATGCATTCTTAGAGAATGCATAGTCTCCTTCATGGACTATAAGAAGATAGTTGATTTCATGAAGCATGGATATTCTTTCCCTCTACATAACATTACTATTATTAAGAATATATAAAAGGGAGTAGAATTAGGTGTGATTGCTTCTCTCAGTTAATAAAACAAATAACAATTTAAAAATTTTTTGTTTATTTTTTATATTTTTAGTTTGTTCTAATTAATTATACATGACAGTAGAATGCATTTTGACACCTCATAGATAAATGTCGAGAATAACTTCTCATTTGTCTATGTTTTATATGATGTAGAGTTACACAGGTCACGCAATCATATGCATATAGGGTAATAGTGTCAGATTCATTCTGCTATCATTCCTGAGTATGATAGTATGACCTCTTGCCTCCCTTCTTCACTCCCTTCTGTCTAGTCCAAAGTACCTCTATCCCCCCCTCCCCCATTGTGAATTAACAAAGAACAATTTCTTATTTATTTTGAAAGACTGGCCAAATTCAGGTAGGATATGAAAATGAAGCCTCTGAGTTCAGAATATCATTCCTCTAAAAAATGATTTTATAAAGGTTTGGGAGTGTAGCTCCATCGTAGAGCCCTTGCCTAGCATACCTGAGGCTCAGGTAGAGCTCCAGTATCACTAAATAAATAAATACTCAAATTCTTTGTGCATGGGGCAGGATGATTGCCAATTGGAGGCTAGGCTAGCCTCAGAAGCAAAGTCAGACCCTGGTCTCAATAAATCAATCAATAAATACTCAGTTGGTTTTATTATGTAAATGGAGGGCCACACCCTAAATATTTGTAAATAACAATGGAATTTGTTAGGAAAAACGAGCTTGGTGTTAGGTGACTTTGAAGCCAACCCTATCTAAATATAAAGCCTTTTCTTCTTGAATTTATGCAGCACATTATTTTAAGTATTTTGTAGGGTTTGAAGCTGGAAAAAAAAAAAGTTCTTGACTTAAGTCTTTTCTACCAACTAGGTTGGAGCCAGGTCAGTATTTATTTTCCTAGGCAAACGGAGAAGCATTCTGTTGAGTCACTGAAGCGGAGAGAGAAAAGTAGCGCTCCCCTCTCGCAGATTCGTCCTTCTCAGCAAGAGCCGCAAATTTCCAGGAGCAACTTTCTTTTTTTTAAGCGCCTCTCGAAAGAGGCCGGGTTTCCTTGCCTACTCCTCGCACGGATTGGTTCAGAGTAGACTAGCAATACTTTTAGGGAGGAACTGAACCCCAGCGCTGGGAGTGAATTCTAGCCGCGGGTGACTGATAGGCCAGGCACTAGGGGAGGAAGGCTGCCCCGTGGCGGGGCGGGGCGGGGCGGGGCTGCTGGGCTAGGACCCGGCTAGTGCTGCCGCGGCAGAGGCTCAAGTCTCAGGAGGTCTAGCCCCACTCAGCGGAGATGTGGAATCCCCTGCGCGAGAACGACTCAGCTGCAGGCCCCGGGCGCCGCCCGCGCTTGCTCTGCGCTGGGGCGCTGGTGCTGGCCTCTGGCCTCTTTATCCTCGGCTTCCTCTTCGGTAGGGGCGCTTTTGCTAAGAAAAACCCAGAGCCTCCCCGCGCAGTTCCGCGGTTTCCAGATTCACGAGCCGGCAGCCCAGTGGGGTCCTGTCGCTCGTCTTCCCTAGGGGCGGGCTGTTTGGAAAAGGGCAATAGGCGGAAGGGTTCCTTCGAGATTGGCAGAGCATTGCTGCGGGCTGTATAGGGTTAATTTCTAAAGACGTTTTGGGGAAGGTATAGAACGGGGAGACGGGTTGAACCTGAAATTGAACACCCTGCAAGATTCAATACTTTTGGGGACAAGCAGCATTATTTTTACGGTTGTGTAACGAGGTCATCCAAGCTTTGCCTGAAGCGGCTCCTACCTGTTTGGGGTTTTCGACTAGTTCGGTGCCTGGGAATGCTGCAGGTGCAAGGTAGAATTCGGGGTATTACTACAAAAGGAGTCTTCACAGTCTTAAGTCCTAGAGAGTAGCAGAGGCACATTTAAGAAATGGGTGAATTATTGCTAGCGCTTTGAACCAATCTTTGTATTGTTTCCTCAGTATTGATTTACAGACTTAATCCAACTGTACATGAAAATCATAGCAGTACGTGCAGACTCAGACTTTAAATTCTAATTTTGATTCTACCACTTCGTAGTGACCTTGAACAAATTACCAAGTCTCTTTCAACCTCAGTTTCTCACTTTATGGTGAGAATAATACCTGCAATTTATAGATTATAGTAAACGAAATAGCATGCAAAGTTCCTAGCACCATACTGTGATTATTTTTGCTCTTCATTTCTCCTCTATAAGGAGATGATCCTAACAGGACTACTCCAAGATATGAACAGATAGTCCGCCCTGACTCTGAATTCTGGATCCCCTCGCTGGGATTTAGAAGACCGTTAACTGGTCCACGTTAAGTTTATTCAAATAAACTTAACCAGTTAAGTTTATTCAAATTTGCTATCATCTGCTAGTTCACTGTGTGACCCCGGAGTTTCAAAAGACTTTTGAGCCATATGCTCTGTTCATAAACTAACATGTGGGATTGGTAACCACCTAGGGTTGCTGTGGGGCTTAAATAGGATACATGTTCAATAATTATACATTTCAAATGAAGTTTTCATTTTCTCAACTAGAAAACTAGGAGTTAAGAACTGGCAAGGTCAACATACTAGTCAAATATCCTATCTGTCTTAAAGGCGTCTCATTCTTTCTAGTTCTGCCCTTACCCCAATTCCTGTATTCAGTGTCAGTGGCTGGCACAGAATAGGTTTTTTATTGTGTTTGTTTTCCTTAATATTCTCTGCTGTCCTCTCCCGTCTGCAGACCTCTAAGCTTTTCATCATGTTCATTTTTCAGATCCCAACTCAAATATCAAATATCTCATCCTCAGTGTATCCTTCTCTGATCCCACATTCTAATCAAAGTCCTTTAATTTAATTAACAGGTAAAACCATATATCATTCATGTCCAATCATGTATTTTAATGTGTTGTTTATATGCATGTGTGTTTGTATACATATGATCAAAAATTGGAGAACATTATGAAAACTGAGTGGGTGTTGAGTTTGTAATAATTTTAATCACACATCAATATACTTTTTCCAAATAAATCCTGTCATGATTCCATCTCTCCCTTAGATTAAGTCAACCACAGAGGCTAATGGGCTCTACACCATGTGGGTATGCATTGCTTCTGGCCTCCTGCATAGGTTGCATGCCTTGCAGAAATGTTGGGTAAATTGGTGTTTCACTGTAGGTTTCTGACCTTCAACTTCTCAAGCCTATTTCAACTAGAAACAAAATCGCAGCACATTCTGTTTTCATTTCAGAACCAGAGCAAATTAAAAAAGTTTGAGTTCTTTTCAACATTTTTGAAATAATTTATGTACTTGAAATATGAATTATGTACTTGAAATATGAAATAGTTAATTCACTACACACATTATTAAATGTTTATTCTAGGTCAACAGGCAAGAAGTCACTAGAGAGAGAATCTTTACAGAGAAAGACAGTGGATCCACATTTGGACTTTATTTTTAATATATACAGTTTATGTCCATTGGTTGAAACCCTAATGCCATATTTAAATCAAGTGCTGATTTTTCATAAAACATTTCTTAAAATAGCAACAATATATTATTATTGAAATTTGAAATAAAAACATGTTGCTTTGTAATTTTAAATATTTGCATGATGCTTTTTCAGTGGAAGTAGGCAAAGGAAATTAAACTTCAGAAAATATCAGCTAACATCTTGAAATATTGATATTTTGTGTTTTACACATGACAGATACAATCAAAAAGAAAAATAAGACTTGTCTATAAGCTTATATCTCATTCCTATATTTGTATGTATTTTACAGGATGGTATATAAAATCTTCCAACGAAGCTGCAAACATTGTTCCACAGAATGGTCTGAAGAAAGCATTTTTGGATGAATTGAAAGCTGAAAACATCAAAAAGTTCCTATAGTAAGCATATACTTAAAAATTGTATAAATAGATAATTGGGTATTATTCTGTTAAGAAGTTTTGATATTTCATACACAGGCTTTTTTTTTTTTTAAATCAATGTTTTCTGTTTGCTGCAGATCTTGCATCTCATTTCATGTGGGGAGGATTATACTCTTAGCTAAACTTTATTACAGAGGCTTCAGAATAGGAGTCAGTGAACTTTTTCTGTAAAGTGATCAGCCTTTGTGGGCCAACACATCTTTGTCATAACTACTCAGCTTTGCTATTGCAGCAACAAAGAAGCCATGGAAAATATATTAAAAATAAGCATGTAAGTTATGATAAAATATTATTTATAGGCAGTGGTATTTGAACAAAATTATTCTGTTTTATTCACCTATTGGTATTTAAAAACCATTCTTGGTCTGTGGACTATACAAAAAACAGCAGTAGGCTAGATTTAGCCTGAGGAAATTAGTTTGCTGACTCATGCTTCAGAGAAAGATAGTATTTTTTAGTAAAAAACAGGCTTGGGAGCTGAACAGAATTGAGTTTGAATTGCATCTTTTCTGGCTAATACTAAAATAGGTTTAAGTGAATACTTAATCTTCCCGAGCCTTCTTCATTTCTACCCCTATAACATGGAGATAATAATATTGCTGTGATGAGAATGAAATTGGAGAGTATGTTTGGCATATTTTGAATATTAGTTCCATGCTTCCTGAGATAGCATAGAGCAAAAGAGAAAATGAGTAATTTTTAAAAGTATTTACAAAGCAACTCAAAATAAAAAAAAGCAACTAAAATAAAACAATTAATATATAATTGATTAGAATAGCTAGTTTTTGTCAGAGCATAAATTCTCCTTGCATATTTATTTATTCATTTATTTTTTACAAATAACTTAGTGCATATATCCAAAAAAATATCTGAAATACCTCTAGTGATTGAAGTATTTTCTAGTGAATACAGGATGTAATTTTATATAAAAAGACCATAACTTTACATACATAGATAGATATGCATAGTCATAACAAACACATAAATGTCTATATTAATTGCAACAGAATCAAAACTGTGGATAAAAAATTGCTAAGGGGCTTGGAAGGTTTTTGGAAGAGCCTCTTTAATGAGAGAACTTGGAGTTCAAACTTCTTTACTGTGCAGAAAACTCTCCTTGGCCTCTTGCAATTATTCAACTATAATCATGTTGATTTGGGATAAAGGCTCATTAAACATTAATTTCTAACCACTTTCAATTTTTGTTCACCAGTAATTTTACACGGATACCGCATTTAGCAGGAACAGAACAAAACTTTGTGCTTGCAAAGCAAATTCAATCCCAGTGGAAAGAATTTGGCCTGGATTCTGTTGAGTTAGCCCATTATGATGTCCTGTTGTCCTATCCAAATAAGACTCATCCAAACTACATCTCAATAATTGATGAAGATGGAAATGAGGTAAAAAAACAAAAAGGGAATAAAAGAAACATCCATCCCAGTCTATTGTTTTCAAATACCTTCTATGAAACAATATGCTCTCCCTTCTTCAAATTTTGATAGAAATCAATATTATTGAAGTTTGTGAATAATATCTTTGATAACTCATTATAGTGTCAACTACTCTGTTATGATGTTTGAGTTTAATGTGATGTTGGAAAGATTCTGATAAATTAGTGATTTATGATAGTTACTGTCTTTACTTTTTGTATTTTAGTATTGTACACCAATGTCAAATATTATATACTGATAAAATTCCAAGAAACTAAAATAGATACACTTTTGATAGGTTTAAATTATGAATGCACTGCATAGATGTGGAGTTGCTAAAATATCATTGACCAGTGTGCTGTTTTCACTAGCAGGTTTTATTGGTTTGTAATGATCATGTTTCCACTTGATTTTATTCAAAAGGCTAAGAGGCAATGAATTTTTATGTCTGAAAGGACCATGTGTTCAAATCTCTGACAACTTGTGTGGGGCATTTGGAGGGGAAAATGATGAGGCAAGTTCTACAGGATGTTATCTACTCTAAAGAATATGTAACATTGTTTGCAAATTCAGGCATATACAGGAGGAAGAGAAGAAAACACACATAATCAACACAATTCCTATTGTAATTTGTTTCAATAAGAAAGCTCATAAAATATAACTCAAATATCTACCCTTATTTACCACATCTTAGTTTTAGGACTATCATATCTAAAATTGTCTCTTTCAGTCTGGAAAGCTTCCTTCAATCCTTTTGTTACTGGGTATTCTAAGTTACATATTGCTTCAAATATATCCAGCTTGATAAGTGCACTGAAAATGTCATGTAATTTTAATATTATTTTTTTTTCAAAATATGTCATTGAACTCCTCTCATTGAAAATGTTATCAGTCTTTTCTTGATAAAGGATTAATATATTGTTTTATTCAGTCACTGATAGAATCCCATGCTAAATTTCCTAATATAATTTCCTAATATTATTTTCCATATTAACTATTTTAAGCTTTAGTAGTGAACAATTTAAATTTGGAGAAATGTTATTAAACTTTTTAAAATTTAAAAGTATTTTTAAAGTATGGGGAATGATAATATATATCATAGATTTTCATGATATCTACAGAATAAGTGCTGGCATATCTATATAATCAATTATGAACTTGATTTTCCTTTAAACTTGCTTTTAAAGGAAAATTATTTAATGACATAATAAAATATTGACAATGTTAAAAATGCACATATATATAAGACTGTCTTAATATATCAAATTTGGGGATTGTTAGTATATAAAACGGAAAATAGCAGACTCTTAATGTTTTTCTTTTGTCTTTCCTTCACTTACCAATTTTGGGTGGTTCATTGTTTTTATTATTTCATTATTTTTTTTTATTATTACATACATTTATAAAGTTACTAAAGCCTATCACATGAAATAAAAATGAATCATGGGCTGAGGATATAGCTCAGTTGGTAGAGTGCTTGTCTCACCTGCACAAGGCCATGGGTTCAATCCACAGCAAAACACACACACACACACACACACACACACACAAGGAATCATATAAAAGTTTTATTTTGGAGACTTTACTGAATGGTGCTAGCGACCTAAAGCATCTTATTTATTCCAAGTTATATCATTGATTCATTTTAATTTTTTTACAAGTTACACAAGCATTTCATCACATGGTCCTATGGGATACTGTACTTCCTCTGCATTTTACCATTTTCAGGGCAATCACTATTCAACTACCCACTGATTCTTTTGACATTCACCTCCATTTGTATAAATTTGTTTCAAATTCTGGCATTATCTATAGAAATTGTGTCAATTCAGCTATATGCCATCCCCTTACTCTGTTACCAATGTTCTTTCTTATCTCCTAGTGTAGTTTGTTATATGTGGCAAACTATTCACAGCTGAGCTGTGTGGTAAGATATGATTTCTTCTATTCTTGTATAACACAGACAAGTTTCCTGCCCACAGGCAACAGATATAATTAGTAGTTTCTAGATCCTAGTAGAAACCCAGTGTTCTTACTCTACATAAGTACTTTGTTTCACTTTGTTTATGCATAGATAACACACCACAGACATTGAACTGCACATTGCCTTTTTATGTCACAAAAAGTAAATAGAAATTTATAATCCAAAATTGTTTAAATTATACTCAGAACACATAATATGAAGCTACTAGTGAATTTCAGAAAGTGACTAATGTTCTAAGGCTGATATATATTCTACTTTTAATAAATTCAATCAAGTAAGTAATTTCCTTGATCTTAAAATTATTTTCTTTATTGTTAGAATAACTCATGAGGTTGCTGTGAAATTTAGTGCTGCACACTGTGACATAATATTGAAGATTTCCAAAAATTAATTGAGGCAAGCTTGAATGCTCCCTTGCCAGGAAGACTCACTGATATGGCTTTGCTTCTATATGTATTTTTATTGCACCTTAGCAAGTTTCTTTTACAAACTTACAGTTTCTTTTACAGACTTACAGTGACACAGATAAGTTTGTACCCTATGCAAATCACAGAAAACAATATGGGAAATTTGAAAAGTGTAGGGATTTTAGCACAGTGGTTGATTTGGTATCATTTGAGGTCCCATCAGTCTCAGTATTATCCGGACTCACTCCCAGCGCCTCTATCCTGGATATACTGCACTGGCAGTGATGAGAGTATGATATTGAAAGAAGTGATGATATCTGGTAGCCTTGAATTTCTTCCAGTCTTGAAGGGAATGACTTTAAAGTTCCACCATTAATTTTGATAGCTGCTATACTCTTATGAGGTTAACTTGCTTCCTGTACAGGTTGCTAAGACTTCTTGTTGTGAATGTGTTGAATTGTATCAACACAATTTTTTTTTGAGATGAGCATGATATTTATCTTTCTTGAGCTAATGAAAATATTAAGTGATACTCTAATGTTAATCTAACCTTACATTTCTGGAACTGGTACTAGGAGTTTAAATTCATATGTTCATATATATTCAACTTATATTCCTAACATGTCTAGTCTTTTTTTTTTTTTTGCAAGTTACTTCTTAGGCTGTAATCTCTAGATTATACTTGTTTTATAACATGAGTTGTTTATAGTAGTCTCTGAGAAAGATTGTGTTTGTTATATTTAAATGATCTTTTTCTTTAACCTTTTATGGAGAACTAGTTGGCCTTGGCACTTTATTTTGAACTCAGGGGCAATTGACCACTAAGCCACATCCTCAGCTCTATTTTGTATTTTATTTAGGGACAGAGTCTCACTGAGTTGCTTAGCATTTTGATTTTGCTGAAACTGGCTTTGAATCTGTGATCCTCCTGTTTCAGCCTCTAATACCTCTGAGTGTGCCACCACACTCAGCTCATTTATTAAGTTTTTTAAAGCTGCCTTTTCCATTTCATCTAAGTTTTCAAATTTATGGTCATCATTTTTCTTAATATTTTCTTACCTTTTAATAATTTGTGTAGTTGGGCTGGGGATAGAACTCAGTGGTAGAACACTTTCCTAGCATGCACAAGGCCTTGGGTTCAATTCCCAATACTGCCCAAAATAAGTAAACAAACAAACAAATAAATAAATCTGCCTAGCAGCTGTAGATAAGCTTTTTTCCATACCAAACATTATTTTTTTATGCTTTTGCTATTTTTTCTTATTGATCTTGAGAGAGACATCTTTTGGCTTTGGGAAACTTTTCTTGTGTGTCTTTGTTTTATGTTTTATTAGTTCCATTCTTACTTTATAATTGCCTCTTCTTTCTTTGTTTTGTTTACATGGCTAATCTTTGTAGCTTACCTTGTTGGCATTTGGCCTTATTTATTTATTTATTTTTTATTTATTTATTTTTTTATTGGTCTTTCATAACATTACATAGTTCTTAATACATCATATTACATGGTTGATTCACGTGGATTATGAACTCCCGCTTTTACCCCGTATACAACTTGCTGTATCACATCAGTTTCCCTTCCATTGATTGACATATTGCCTTTCTAGATTCTGATGTATTCTGCTGTCTGTCCTATTCTCTACTATCCCCC